AAGCAAAAGCTGAAGGAATTATGATTTAGACCAGCTTTCCATTTACTAAATCTCCAATGCAAGAAGCTGAGACGGAAAGTGGAACAACCATCTACTGATGACCTGTAATTGTTACCAAAGAATTTGGTTTAAAGGTTTCAACATTCCACTGCACAAATTCTTTAGCATTTCTCCTTAGGCTGTGTTTGGTTTGAAAGAAAAGGTTTTGTACAGGTTTCCCTCCCTTTTCTTTCAAACAAAACACATCATTAGAGTATTATGAAGGTGAAAGTGAAACCCATGATATGCATGTTTGCATCAGACAAACATTTCTATTTCTTTATGTCTGCTCATTAATGCATGTGTCTGTGTGAAGAAGAGGGTGGAAGGGGTGGGGGGTTGGTTTACTTAGAAAGCAGGTAGACAGATGTGTACATTCAGTCATTCAGTCGTATGTGTATTTCATGAGGGCATTATGCGTAGAAAGCCATCTCTCCTATTTGTGCTAATGCCACTATGAGCACATCCTTTTTTGAGATAAATAATGATATATGATATATCAATTAGCTAATGTCACTGTGAGCACATCCTTTCATCCTAAGGTCTTTCAGTGTATCTAATGGGTTAACTTTTTTTTTTTTTTTTTTTCTGCTAAAACTATTTGTGCTTCAGAATAATGCCTTTGAGGAGTTAGGTGAGCATTCGTTCCTTGCATCATTGTTGCTTTCCGAATTAAGTTTTAGGCTCGCTACCAAGGATTTCTGCTATCACACATGTTTTATAGTCAGGTTGTCTTAAGCACTTAAGCTTCACATAATTGTTGGAGTCACAAAGCTAAAATAGACTAAAACACATGGTTAAGATCTAAATGAAATTTTTTGGATTGTGGATGTCGGTAATCTGTACTTTCCGTTATTGTTTGGAGCAGGACCTATTTTAGGTACTGGAATGTGCACTGAAGTATTTCAGTTCAATGTGTCTCCCGATTCTGCCAACCCTGGTGCCATAATTCCAGCAGCTTCAGTTGCCAATATTTCAGAGGAACAGCCACCAGATTCTGCGAATCACAGCAAGAGGAAGAATAGAAGGATTCTCTACCCTTCACCTATTCCCCTTTCTGGATCTTCTGTCAACCAAACTGAAGAACATGATAGAAGGCCTTCAAAGAATGAGAGCTTCCAAGGCAACAAATCTGCTTCATCAATGGTTGTGTCCGTGCTGGTTGATCCTAGAGAAGCTAGTGATATCGAGGGTGATGGAGTAATCTCATCGAAGAAATCCTTGTCTCGGATTTTTGTTGTTGTGCTTGTGGACAGTGTCAAGTATGTGACATATTCATGCGTGGTACCTTTCAAAGGTTCTAATTCTCCTTTGGTAACTGCTTGAGGACAGTAGAATGGTGCCTCCTAATGAATGACATGCGACTCCTATATGTTTCAGTTTTGTATATAGAAAACAAATTACATGTAGTTTGAACTTTGAACTCCGAGAAATCAATTATCAGTGTTTTTAACTTGCATAATTTAAATTTACTTCCTCAATTATTTGTAGTCGAAAGTCGAAACACCAATAAAATCAATTTCCTGTGTTTCTAACTTGCATACTTTATTTCTTTCTTTCTGGCACCGGTCTACTAAGGCTGGAAAATTTGTTCATCTTATATATTTATAAAAGGGATAGGGGTGGTCTCCGATTTAATATATATATATATATATATATATCTGCCACCAGTTTTGGGTTCACAGTTTGACGGTCTGGTTTGAAAGAATAGTCGGTTTTGACAACAAAAATTGTAAGTTAAAAATTACAGAATCGTTCTGGTCACTGGTTTTCGGGTCGATGGTTTGAATCTAGTTCAAATGGATGATCCGTATTGATAACAAAAATTATAGGGAAAAAATTGAGTGTATGAGGTCCATTAAGTAATATCATACGTGTTATGTCATTTGAGTGCGTGATTCATATGACCTGAAAGTGAAACTGTTCTGACCATTGGTTTTTGGGTTAACGGTTCGATTGTCCGGTTTGAACGAAAGAACGACCCGTTCTGTCAACAAAAGATAAAAAATAAAAAATGGCCAAAAGCCATTGAACGGGTCGACGGTTCGACTGCTCGGGTCAATGGGTCATTGATCGATTCAATGGTTTTAGTTAGGGACCAGGATTGGGGTAAAACGGAATCAGTTGCCTCGATGATTCCCAATTAAAAAAAATAAAAAAGGGCAATTCAACCATCCGGTTCAACGGACGACCTGTTCTGACAACAAAAATTACAAGCAAAATATTGAGTGTGTGAGGTCCATTAAGCAGTATCATACATGTTATGTCATTCGAGTGCATGACTCATTCGAGTGGTTCGAACAGATGGTCCGTTTTGACAACAAAAATTTAAAAAATAAAAAAACAGCCAAAAACCATTGAACGGGTCAACGGGTCAACGGTTTGACCGCTGGGTCAATGGGTTGTTGACCGATTCAATGGTTTTTCCCAGGGATCGGGATTGGGATAAAATGGAATCGGTTGCCTGGACGGTTCCTAATTAAAAAAAAATGGTCAAAAACCATTGAACGGGTCAACAGGTCGATAGTTCGACCGCCCGAGTCAATGGGTTGTTGAGTGATTCAACGGTTTTTGGCTAGGGACCATGATTGGGGTAAAACGGAACTGGTTGCCTAGATGGTTCCCGGGCCGAAATGTTCGTCCATCTGGGCCGATGGCGGTTCGAAAACCATGGTTTTTTGTGCTTTTGGATTTTCATTATTCAAAGGTTTCTTCTACTGTTGGCTTTATTCGAGAGTGTGCGGTATCTTCTTTTTTTTTTCATTTTCTGCTTTTGATTTTTTTTTTTGTGTTTGATCTTCTTCTTCAAGATCCTCTAAAACGGTCTAGAGTTTACCACCATTTTATTTCTTCCCTTTTGTTTTTTCTTTGGATTTTCTTGTGCAATATTTTTTTTTTATTTTCTTACAAGACGATATGCTTTGTCTCTTTCTTTGATTGCATGTATGTTAAGTTCCGTTTCAAAGCGGAACTTTGAACTTGATTTTTTGTTTTTTTTTCCTTTGGGTTTTTTAGTTTAGTAGATTTACTGCCATTTTTTTTTCTGTGGTTAAGGTGACTTTGGATTTATCTTTCAAGGTTTTAGAATTCCTTGCAATGTCCACCCTTCCCATGACTATAACTACAAAGATATTTCGTCTAATTATTGACATCTAGAAAAAACGACCTGAAAATGGAATTGTTCTAGCCACCGGTTTCCATGTCAACGGTTCGACCGGATGACCCATTCTGACAACAAAAATTAAAAAATAAAAATGGCCAAAAACCATTGAACGGGTTGACCCTCGGGTCAACGACTTGTTGACTGATTCAATGATTTTTGGCCAGGGACTGGGTTTGGGGTAAAATGGAACCGGTTGCCTGAACGGTTCTCAGGCCGAATGGTTCTACTGTCCAGGTCAACTGGGAGTTCTCGATGTGAAACAAAGGACTTGTATGATCGTATTAATTCTTTTATATGAGATGCTTTACTGAAACAATATTTAAAAAATGAACACATGGTGATCTCTTTTAAGTCTTTATATGAGTTTCAATACTTGGATACTTATAATTGTGAGTTTCTTATTAAAAAACCATTATCTTTTTTAATGTAGAAAATAACAATATTGCAATTCCAACCCCTACGAAACAGGGCCCCTCCGCTAGTTATTATTATTATTACTACTTAAAATTTAGGGGCATTTCTTTCTTTCTTTATTTCTTCTTTTTCAATGGTGGGAGATGTAGTTACCGGTCTTGGTTTGGCCTTAGTCATCAATGGTTGTAGGTCCGTCATATGCTTATCCTTCTGTGAACCTCTGTTTTTGAATGGCATGGTTTTTAAAACCGACCCAGAGATCGGACCGATCAGGGGTCTGGTTATCGGGTCAAACAGTCCGATTGTTTGAATCGGACACTCGGCCGGTTCTGACAAAAAAATAAAAAATGATCAAAATCGTTCGAATGGTTAACCACCTGGTTCAGCAGTCTGCTGACCAAAATCAACAGTTTTGGGAGAAAATTCGATTTCTGGGGAAAATGGAACCAATGACCTAACCGATTTTCAGTTTTTCCAATCCGACCGTCCGGTTCAGTCTGATTTTGAAAACCATGGTGAATGGACATTATACGTTTAGGCGTTGAGAGAGATAAGACGTGGTTGTTTTTTCCATGTTTAAAATGTTGAATGGACATTATCCAAATATGGGACATATTTCGCAAATGTCATATGGGACATTGTGGAAATATTGTAAAATATGTAATCATAAAAGAAGCATTAATATAGTTTTTTTAGACTATTATCTTATTTCAAGCAATCACACAAAGTTAAAGAAATTGATTAACAACAATGGTGTCTTATAAACTTAAAGAGTCAACAATTAACATTTAAGTTACATAATTTATTTTATAAATAAAAATTAAGGTTTAACATCACATCCGAATCATTATTATAGAGACAAAAAACTAAGGTGACAAATCATAGAGAATTTGCTTTTCTTGGTAGATATTTGAATGCTTGATGCCTTGACATCTTAAAATTGTGTATTTTACAAATTTATCTTTCAAAATTGTTATTTAAATAATAATAATGAAAATGATTAAATTTTATAAGATTATAAAAATATTATAAAATAATAAAAAATTAAGTATTCAGAAATAATCAAATTAAAAAACTAAAAAATAATAAATAAGATTAGTAAGATTAATGAAAAATATTAAAATTATAAAAATAACATTAATTCAACAAATATTATAATATCTTATAAATTATTGTAAAATAATATTAATTAAATAAGAATCTGTCTTTAACTTCTTGCATCACCACCAAACCAAAGTAGAGCCGATAGGTCTTCCCCCCCTCTCTCTCTCTCCTCTTGTTTTTCTTCTTCCCTTTTCTTGCCCTCCCTCCTTCATTGTTGGTGATCAAATTAATCACTAAAGCAATCTGATAGTCACCTTTTTTCTCCTTTTAGTTCTCTCCTTTTATCTCTCTCACACTTTCTTTCTTTTTTCTTCCTTTCCTCCCCTTGTTACAATCTATATCTATATGTTAAAATTGAATGTGTTAAGCTGACGCTCCCTGCTTTGTTGTTTATTCTCAAAATCAATAATCTTTTTTCTGGTTTCTTCTGAAAGACACTTAGATTTTTTCTGTTTTTTTTTAATTTTCTAATTTTAAAATTGAACAAAATAACTCAAGTGATCAATCACCTTTAAGACTTTTAACACTCCTCATTAAAAACGTCATTAACTCTCACTCACTCACTCACTCTCTTTCACACACACACACACATTATTGAAAATCCAAGGAAAAGGAGGTATTTGCACATTTTCTTTTCAAAACTATAGGGGATGCCTTTTTTAGGGTCAAAACACAAAGGTGGTTTATAGAATTGTTATAAGAGGATTTTTTTTTTATAATTTATCTAAAAATAATACTAAAATAATAATAACCCAATAAAATTAATAAAAAAATCTTTTTAAAAAATTTAATAAAATTAGCAGTGAGATAAACAAAATATAAATTTATATAAAAAAATATAAAAAAATAGGAAATTGGCCACTCTCACTAAAATGCAACTTAGATTGTGATGGATAAACTAGACATAACCCCAAAAAATAATACTTGAATTGAATTTAGATGAACACCATTTAATTGGAAATGCTATAGATTTTGGTTATAAATAAAACTTGTACATCGCACACATCCTGACTAGTTGCAACTAAATTAGAAATAGAGCCATCATACCCTATATTTCCCTTTTTCTTCTCTTTGTCATTCTATTTTCTCTTTTTCCATTGCATTGCTATAAGAACCACCAAAATTGTCATTGAGCCCCTTGTCTAGTGTTGACTCTTTAGCTTAATCCAAGGTGCCTTTTACAAATTAACTTGAACCAATATCTCCATTGTCAATTCTCCATCACCGCTGGCAACTCCATCAAACAAGTTGCTTCCCGTCATTGAATACCACACCTTTTCTGAATGTTGGAGCCATCATTTTGACTAGAGCATCAAACCAATTGCAACAGGAAGACAATGAATAGTGTTGGGTAGTTTTGGGTTTTTCAACTTAATAAAGGGGCATTGGTGGGAATGCACTCAGAAGTAACTTGATTGCTAAAACGTTTGGAGGTTTTTAGCTTTCAAAGGTGCAACCAAACAATCACCAATCATTGAAAAAAAATGACATTTTCAAAGTTTATATATTTATCGCAATTCATACACATTTCCTCTATCCTACAATCAATTTGTCTATTAGAACTTTGTTCTTATCCTTCTATTACATCTAGTAGTACATTCAATAAGTCAGCATGATCCCCAAGTCCATATTTGTGTTGATATATTAAGTGCAAAAAATATCTTGACATGCATTTAAATATTAAATCCTTAACTTTGATAGTATACTTATATAATAGAATTATAGAAATAAATAAATAGAATGATAGAAGTGCAATACTTACTAGTTTTATGAAGGGAGGTGTTAAAGTTATTTTATCCA